TATGCCGGGGCTCCCATACATTTTATAATATTTCTTGGGGAGTATAATGGGAGCCCTGGCATACAAATAGGATGGTACCCAGACTAGCAGTTCTAACCTCCTGTTGCAAAATGCAGGGCTCGTCTCATGTTGATTATCTTGTAGAGTTTGACAGTAATGTAACGCTGACAGACTTTATTTGGTGAGCTTGAGACTAGGCCTGGATTTTGGAACAGGAGAGTTGAATTGCTACATGTATTTGTTAACAGTGATAACAAGGCTTGTCATGCAATTCAACACAATTCCTCTCTTTCTGTATGTGGATTCACTCATACTTTTCCAACAAACGCTTTGCACCCTTAAACTCTCCCAAACACAAATAGTCACACTCATCAGGCCAACCTCCCCAAACATTAATTTTTCCAAAAAAATTGCCCTCACAAAATTTGTCTTGTTGAATGCCAAATTGCCTACAAATTTGCTTCAGATTTGTTTTAAAAAATTCTCCCAAAATTTTGGTGCCGTTTTGTTAACTTATGCTGATTCTTTTTTGTGTCAATTTTCCCGCCCAAAAAAAGCTAATTGGGACCCTCACCTGGTTAATTAATTGGATTAATTTTTCCCGCCAAAAAACTTAGTATATATACACCACTCTAACCTTGAACTTGTGCACCCCCCTCCCCACTCTTCCTGCCCACCTCCCCACACCTACCTTCTCCCACAGTAGTTACACTGTTCCAACACTTCAGACTTCTTTGGACATGTCACTTCTCCAAACATGTAGTCACCACACTCTGCTACCCAAACACTTACTTGATCGAGTGTAGTTTTTCAGTCGCATTAGACTTTAGAATGATCTCTTGCTCTCCTCGTCGGTCAATGCACTAAGTGTACTCCCCGGGGGATGTCTTTTTGGGAGACATTGATGCTTCGAAACATCAGTATACCAGTGCAATTGACTCGGCCAGAGAGCGAGAGATCATTCTAAAGTCTAATCCGACTGAAAAACTACACTCGATCAAGTAAGTGTTTGGGTAGCAGAGTGTGGTGACTACATGTTTGAAGAAGTGACATGTCCAAAGAAGTCTGAAGTGTTGGAACAGTGTAACTACTGTGGGAGAAGGTAGGTGTGGGGCGCACAAGTTCAAGGTTAGAGTGGTGTATATACTAAGTTTTTTGGCGGGAAAAATTAATCCAATTAATTAACCAGGTGAGGGTCCCAATTAGTTTTTTTTTGGCGGGAAAATTAACTAATAAAGGAATCAGGGTGAAATTAATGTGTCCAGCTAAGATATCAAATTCTTTGGCGGCGAAATTTAAGTGTTAAGGTCCAAAGCAACAATTTTGGGGCAATTTGGCATTCAACTATACGATAAGAAGAAGATTAAAACGTGGAATTAGAGCAGCCGGCATACTAAGTTTTTTGGTGGGGGAATTTATAAGTGTAAAGGTCCAAAGCGACAATTTTGGGGCAATTTGGCATATTCAAGTACACAATATGAAGAATTTTTCAGTGATGTAGAATTAAAGCGGCCGGTTAAGATACATTTTCCTGTATGTGTTTAGAAGATTTTAAGTGTAAATATCCAAGCGACAATTTTGGGGCGATTTTGCCTATTCACTGACAATTCAGGATAACAATATGGAATCTAAGCAGTTAGAATTTTTTTCACTCCAAAAACTTTGCTATCAACTACGGGTTCGGAGAATTTAAGTGCAGAGGTCCAAAGCAATTTTTTGGCAATTTGGCAATTCTACTAAAAGATACAAAGGATTTTTTTGTGTCGCCAGCTATGATTAACGTTTAATGGCTCCTCACAGAAAAAAAGGCATGCCGACCCTCAGAGCAGAGTGAAATGGGCAAAATAGAGAAATGCTTGTGTATGTGTGCATGTGGAGTGTTGTCTCGTGTTAATAAAGAAAACATACTCACACCTCCCCATCTTCTTTCACACAGATCTGCCAATAGAAGTCTGGTTCTTCCTTCCACTCAGTCTGGTCTCCGGGTTCACATCTTGAAGACAGAGAAACAAAAGTCACTGGATTGACAACAGCAATTGGCCTTACTAATCCAAGATATTATATCACACAACATGCAAATTTATGACAGTTAGAATGCAGCTAAATGCTGCCTGTAAAAGTCCAATGCACAGTGCAAAAAGTGTGACGTGCTGTATCTCAAATGACTGAAAGTGCAATGTGGGACCAAGGAGGTTATACTGGAGACATTATACAATGTAACCTCTTTTGTAGGACTAATTGTTTGAAGGTGTGAAAAGGAGTCTAGAAAAGTGTGACATACTATGTAATTAAAAGCAGTGAAAGCTTTAGAGACTGGATGATTGGGTTATAGGATAGAAATTTATTAGCCTGGGTGTGTTGCTGAACAAATAAACTATACTCACAAGTTACAACTGTGCCCACTTGTCTTCTCTCACTGCTTTGCTGTCTTCATTTCCTTCTGCATCTTCAAGTCGAGCCGTTGAGCCGTCATCGCAGGTTTCTCCCAGACTGGACAGCCTCAGCACACACCTAAAAGTAATATAAAAGGATGTGTGATGGAAAAACATCCCCAGGCAAAAATACAGAAAAGCCACAGGAAAAATAAAGTTGGAAAGCATGGTCTCACCTGTACAAAGTCTTCGCTCTGTCTTCAACTTCAAAGTCAGCTGTCTCATCTAGCCTGGTTTGGACAGGAACATCAGGACTGCTGACTCTAATTTTACCTACATAATTATAAAAAGAACAATTGATGCCAGGTACATGGCTATTGTATATGAATGGGTAACTAGCTACCAGGTAAAGATGAACACTTGTATGCGACCTTTTACTTTACCTCTTCCTAGAAATGTTGACAAGTGCTCAAGAAGTCTAATATTACTAGTCATTTATTCAAGTCAAAGGCAATACAAAATTAATGTGAAAGATGTTTTGCTACATGCGTGTTTTTTTTATTAAGTGTAGACATAAGGGAAGAGTGCTAGAGTCAAACAGATCTTCAAAAGAAATCATTATCTCACCTGTGGATGTTGTTGTCATCTTGCTCTTGTGTCTCTAAATCACCCGATCTGGTCCAATCTACTCTTGTCAGGTTCAGACAGTAGTCTTCAATACTGCATCAGTCAGAAGCCACCTAACTATACAAACATTAGAAGTTAAACACTTGTCTCAAATAAAGTAAATAGTAGGTTGAGTGCAAAATTCAGATTTTTCTCACCTGAGAGTCATCGTCGGTCTTCAAGTCACCTGGTCTGGCCCAATCTTCTCTTGTCAGGTTTACGACGAATTCGCCACTACTGTATCAGTCAGCAGCCACCTAACTATACAGACATTAGAAGTTACACACTTGTCTCAAATAACATCAAATAGCTGTAGGTAAAATGCAGAATTGGGATTTTTCTTACCAGATATTCTTCTTGGGTCTTCAAATCATCTGTCTTGTCAGGTTCAGACAGTAGTCCCCACTACTGCATCAGTCAGCAGCCACCTAACTATACAGACATGAGAAGTTACACACTTGTCTCAAATACCAACAAGTAAACAGTAGGTAAAATGCAGAATTGGGATTTTTCTCATCTGATATTCCTCTGATCCCCAGGTCTTCTCTGGTCCAATCTTCTCTTGTCAGGTTCAGTCAGCAGCCACCTAACTATACAGACATTAGTTGTTACACACTTGTCTCAAATAACATGAAGTAAATAGTAGGTTGAATGCAGAATTCAGATTTTTCTCACCTGATAGTGATCAAGTGTATTCAAATCAT